CAGGCGAACTGTTTAAATACTTGAAGGAACATTGGCTGTTACGTAAGTGCCTTTTCTTCCTCTGTCTCGTATCGAATAACAGACGGTTTTGACGGAAAGGTATTATTAAGCGTGCGTTTCGGAGCTCTTCGTTTCGTCATAGATGAGACAGAGTGCTGGGGTTGTTACTTTGTTGGCAGTGCAAATAAAATGAAATCATGATATCTGTGTTTTTATGCAATACTTTCTCTATTATATTGGAGTAAAAATGAATCATTACAAAATTGTCAACGAACTTGCATTGCTTTATTTTAATCGTACCTCTAAGTACATTCGTAAATATGAGAGGGGTAGGAGATTCCGACAGCTTACCCTAGATTACGAAACCAGGACAAGAAGTATCACGAAATTGGCCTTGTGATCAACACTGCATTGAACGGTTACATACATTCGTCCGGGCGCCTGTTTGCAGCAAAGAATTCCTGAGTCAAGAATCAACGGATGCCTTCGAATTAGGCAGAGTTTGGCGACGGCGTTTAACCCAATGAAGAACATTTCCAATTCAATTATCTAGAAAGAATTCAATGGAAAAAATAAACTTATTACGTTAAGAAAGTAGAGCACGCACTTCAACACTGAAATAAAATACTGAAAAGATCATAATTAATCACCACAGTTTGTACTTAAAGACAGAAACTTTCATCGAGAACTATTTCTTTATACAATGAAATTATCGAATCTGCATCCAAGAAGGGTGTGGTCGGGCAGAGACCGAACCAGATCGTAAAGCTGGAAGTTCCGAAATTCACGTTGCTGGATGTGTAGCTGTTTACAAATGCACGCAATTAACAATTCGCGCAAGATGCATAATTTAATCTAATTAGTTGTATGGCAATACTTATTCTCAAATATTAGCTACAGCTTACCGGCGGCAATTCATTGACTTATTAAATACAACATGCAGCAACCAAATATTTTAAACGCACAATCCTCGCTCTGTATTTTGGAAAGGCAAGCCTCGCTTGACAGGCAAAAATTTGACCAAGCAACATGCAGCACCCTATGCGACTGCATCCGACACAGCCTTCAGCCGCAACCTGGCGCATCTATCATGGGACGAAAGCCCGCCCTCACGTCCAACACGCCCGCCCGCCCCGCCCGCGCCACTCCCGCGCACTCCTCGCACTCCCGCACCACGCCCCGCCCCGCCACGCCCCGCCACGTTCCCCGCCACGCCCGCCACGCCCCGCCAGCACCGCCACGCCCCGCCACGCCCACACGCCGCCGCCGCACGCCACGCAAGCCCGCCACGCCCCCCCACCCGCCACCCCCGCCCGCCGCCCCGGCCCGCCGCGCTCCCGCAGGGGCAGTGGGCGACCTACACCGGGAGTAACAGTAGTAGTTGACGACAGCCGCTGTTCGCACACGGGCCGCTAGGGCAAGCGCATTAACCTTCGGAGAGGGCGTGCGAACTTTCCCAGGGCGAGGAGGGGGAGGGGGAGGGGAGGGGGGTGGCCCGGCGGAATGTGTCTCTTCGCAGGCAGGGCGTCGGCGAAGCGCCGCTCCAAGAAATTCACAACTTCCCGGCGAGAGGCGCGGCGGCGAGAGAGAGACAGAGAGCGCGCACTGAACAGGAGCGGGGTAGATGGGGGCGGTGGTTGTGGTGGCAGGTGGGAATGGGAGTGATTGGCGGGGGCGTTCAGGCGGTGGTGGCGGCTGGCAGGTGGGCATTGGGCAGGTGCGGGAATAGAAAAGTGGTCGTGATGTCAAGTGGCGGGGGCAAGAGTAGGAGTGGCGGTGAAGGTCGAGAGGCGAGGGCGAGGGCGGGGGACGGGGGCGGGGTGGGTGGGCGGGGGAGGGGTGTGTGGGCGGGGAAGGGTGTGTGGGCGGGGGCGGGTGGTGTGGGCGGGGGCGGGTGTGTGGGCGAGGGCGGGGATTGTGGGCGGGGCGGGGGTTGTGGGCGAGAACGGGGGGTGAGCGTGGCGGGGCGGAGGCGAGCGCGACAGGCCAGTACTAGGGGCGGTGGCGAGGAGGTAGCCGGGGCGGGGAGGTAGCAGGCCAGCCGGTGGCAGGGCGGTGGCGGGGCGGTGGGTGAGGCGGTGGCGGGGCGGTGGGTGAGGCGGTGAGGAGGCAGTGGCGCCGCGGTGGCGAGAGCGGTGGCCGGGCGTTGAGGGGCGGCTGCGACGCGCGGCGGCGTCGAGGCCGGCGTCGAGGCGGCGTCAGGGCGGTTGAAGTGTGGGTGGCGAGTGTGAGTGAGGGTGGGGGCGTCAGAAGCGGGAGCGTGCGAGAGAAAAACGTTGAAAAGAAGGAACGTTAAGTTACACATTTTTCTTTTGCGACGCTTTGGTTTAAAAAATCTTGGAAACGGGGTGGAAGTTTGTACGTTTATTTTTGGTTTCAGATTTTCTGGGCTTCCTTTTATTTCTTAGCGAAAAACTATGTAGCACGTTGGATATGCGGTGTCATCTCTTTTCTTTGAATTACGTTCGAATGATACATATTAATGGAATTCGAGAGAACTGGCACCACTCAGTAAATATAATAACAGAAAAGATTCGGCAAAGATAGATATAAACAACAAATTTGAATTGAAGTCGAGCACGATTCTTTCACGCTGCTTTTTGAGTAACCGGGCTGCCTTTCATAATTACAGGCTTTTTTTTCTCGTCAGAAGGTAATACAGAACTTATTTTTGTGTCCTTTTATTTATGCGTTTTAAATGAAAATTAAGAGAACTAAAATGAAAAACAAACAAAAAACGAACTGCGTCTCAAATCATCATTGGTGTGGCTAATTTTTTTTTCTCACTGACTTCTTCAAACTCTCTCTTCGCCATAGTCTTCTCAAAATAAACTACCGGCCTAATAAATACGTTTTAGACAGTTTTTTAAACAGAGTATCACCACCACGAGTTATGTAAAGCAGAACAAAATATGGAAAAGAAGGAAAAAGAAGAGAGGAGTTGCGAGAAGGGTTGCGTTTAAGAGGAAGAGATGGAATTTTATTCACTTAGTTATACTTTGTTCTTAGTTATATTCACTGAGTTATACTTAGTTCACTTTGTTACTTTAAACGCTTTTATTTCTTTGTGTAAATCTGTTATGTGCCCTTCTTTTAGTTGCAAACTGAAATGTTAGTTCTTTTGAACAAAATGTTTTGTCCCAGAGGGAGTATAACTTTTATTACACTTTTTGTAAGGAAGAAGTGGGATACACAGTATAAAAATGGGTAATTTCAAGTGTAAAAAAGAGACCCAACGTGTTCATCTCAATAGCATGGACAAACGTTTCTGCTGACATTTGGCTGAGAAATATATCGTAATTGCATGGCCGTTTGCTAACGAATTGTTTTAGTTCGTAATGTACAAAACCTTGTGCGTATGATAAGTGAATTCCGTTTATATACTGCTAAGTACAACTCAAGGGCTCTTAAATACAAATAAATTTGAATAAAGAACGCATTGTTTCATTGCTGAACAACGCTTACAAGAGTAATTCAAGAACTTGGGATTAGATAATTTGAGAAAAAATTGGAAAATTACCATCTAAACGATGGCCTTACATTCTTATTCTTTCTATATGTCAGCCTCACATTTCTGAGTCTCTGAAAATACTTTAGTAAATATTTTATTGATTCATTATTATAACGCCATGATGCGACACATTTGTCTTATAAATCAAGTTCAGTTTGTAATGGCATCGAGTTTTCTACCCCTTAGCTCTTCAAATTAATGTTATTTGATTCCACGGAGTCCACGATAGTGGAGAACATCACGTAAATAATGCGGCAATGTCGATTTGTACACTGAATTCATTTGCAGTTTTATCATAACTTTTTACTGCCACGTTTTCTCTCCTTATGTACATGTACGTTACAAATCTAATTCAACCCACGCAAGTGTGTTCCTTAGGACACGGCCATGAAGTGATTTGAGTGATCTGCCAAAGATTATCGTCGACGAACACCATGGGCAACCGACTGCAGTTAGCGGGCGATGCCAAATGTTTAATATGGCAAAGCAATGCTAATGCCCATGTGTTAACGTTTACTAATGCGAAGTAAGAAACAAACTGACCAATGCGTTGCCCGGTTGCGCCACTTCTAAAAGACCCCCGAGGTGAGAAACGGTTCGCGGAGGAGATTCGTAGCTCTAATCCATCACCCTCCGTCGACCATGTAATCGACTTTAGATTTTATTCTCAATGAAAAGACGACGAACTTATATTGCTACGTAACCAGTGAAGTTGTTTCCGCATCGTATTACTGATACGTATTCATTTACGGTTATTACACTATAAAATGGAAATAATAGATTTTAAAAATATTTTTGTAACAATTTTTTAGAAGATAGTTTAGACGCTAAAATGCTACTGCACAATACGAATCTCTATCAGAATGCACAGCACCCTTCCCGTATGAGTTGCAGATTTCCCAAAGACTCTTCCATCAAACATGAATTACGAAATGACAATCCCTTTTCACAAAACCTTGCTCCCTTCACTCACGCCAAACATAATGCGCCTACAAATATTCCAGAAGAAAAATAGAAAACAACACAAATAGCAAAGAGTGAGTTCAAGTGAAGTTCTTGTGTGAGCTCCCTTACGTCTGAATCCAAATTAATTCTATGTTAAGTCCCGAAAGACTCAAACGTGACGTAAGTAAATAAAAAATTTACATTTGTTGAAAATATCACGTATGGGAGCAGATGCGTAAATATCTTCTCGACAAACAGATAATATCTACAGACCAAAAGAACACATTTTAAATGCGTATATTTAACTAAATGGCAATACTTTATTAGGGCCCTTGCCGTTTGGGCGGGCTCGCTTTCCATGACGTCACCCCAGATGCGATTCCCGGTGGAGCAAAGTAAATAGTGTGCGTATTCTTTGCTACGTCTCAGTGTATGATGCTCTGTGACGATGATAAAATTCACTTCGCAGGTTGAGAAGACCGGAATACGGCGTGGGAAGATCTACACGCCAGAGAGTATATATCTACGTTCTAACCACACCTACCTCTTAACCCACGGCCGCGAGGCCGGGTCGCTGCTGGTAGGCCATGGCCCGTACGCGGGCTGTAGCGCCAAGACCAGACTTTATATTAGTATATGCGCGAGGAAAGTGCGCAGGGGAAAGTAGCACTTTCCAATCACTTAACAGAGTATTCGCTTCCATTCTTAAGGGCTGAAACAATCGGAGTCGTGGTCATGCAAGCTACGGAGTCTCGGGGCTGGTGGCTGGCGGGGGTGGGGGCGGGCCACGACACTGGCGCCGCCACGTGCCAGCGGTGCTCGCGCGCGGCAGGCGCCCCGCAGGGCGACAACGCGACAACAATGAGCTTGTTTGCGCGTGGGAGGAAGCGGCTTAAAGCGATCTCCTGCCCGCGCCGAGTCCTTGCTCCGCCTTTAAAGAGATCGGGTCGTCTTTTTCTAGGCCCTTCTGGCTCACGCCTCGACGCCTTGCTCGCGAATGTCAAGTTTGCGTCGTAGGGAAAGAAATTGGGTAAAAATGAAATTCTCGAAATCGGAAATCGCGTGATGTTTGTGGAACATGGATAAAAATGTTACATGTAAATTACTAAAAGATATGATTTTTTTCAAACATAATGCATTCAGTAAACACAATCCATTCTTGAGGATGAAGATAAACTCTCTTAACGTAATGTCTACGTTTTATATTTTTAAATTAATGAAAAAGTTATTTTCTGTTCCTGTTGTGGTTTCTAGATTTCTTATATATGATTAACTCACGTGTTTCACCAAAGTGAAAGGTCACAGTCACCGTCCATGAAGATGCGTTTGCCGTAGACGAAAAATTCCGACGAAAGATTTCATAATGCGATTTTCTACCTCATGATGTTCACATACCTGCAACAAAAATAAAGAGAGTAACTTATTCAGTTAAAAAAAGAATTAATCTTATGGTATTCAATAGTTGTACACCAGGAATAAGAGTCATGTACAATGTTTTGAAAAAAAAGAGAATAAGTTTTCTGTAATTTTTGCTTGTAGAAAGGACAATTTATTTCTTTTCAAAAAGCCACTAAATTTTTCTTTAATTTTTTCCTACGTAAAGCTAAAAATGCATAAAAAGAAGACACCAGCCTAAATTGGATGTACACTCCGTTCAAAATAGCAAAATGTAGAAATAATGTAAGACAACATATGCTGTTGTTTAAAAATATGTGCGGCACAACTACGTTTTTAAATGACATCCGGCACAGAAATTAATCATTGCTAATACATAGCATATTCAGGAAAAGGATCATGATAAAAATTACTTAGTACTGGTTCCACAATTGATCGACTTGCTGGGTCGATCCCCCACTTGCTCGACTTGCTGAGTCGATCCCCCACTTGATCGCCTTGCTGGGTCGATCCCCCACATTATCGCCTCGCTGGGTCGATCCCTCACTTGATCGACTCGCGGGGTCGATCCCTCACATGACCGACTCGCTGGGACGATTCCCCACTTGATCGACTAGCTGGGACGATTCCCCACTTGATCGACTCGCTGGGACGATTCCCCACTTGACCGACTCGCTGGGACGATCCCCCACTTGACCGACTCGCTGGGTCGATCCCCCACTTGATCGACTCGCTGGGTCGATTCCCCACTTGATCGACTCCCT